GCCAGGGCCTACCTGAAGCCCTCCCTCTTTTCAACTGTGAAGCTTTCCCACTCCTCTGCCCACCTTTGGGTCTCTATGAAATAGACACACAGCCATGGCTAACTCCCTCGCTGTAGACAGCTCTGAATAGTCTGCTTTTCTCATTTGGTTGGTCTTCACTCATTTCCACAAATCCTCTCCCTGCAAGGGGACATGGTTAAATGCCAAATGTCCACAGCATGTCCTGATGTTCAGAGCCAACCAAGCAAACTCTCTCTGTTCTAAAGGTCTGGGGACAAATCTCTGTGACTAGACTAACTCCAGGAACCTGTGGGATTTTGATTGGCTTCTCAAAGGGCTCAGACTGACCCCAGGGGAGGTACATATTTGAGGCATACAGCATGCTAGAGCATGTCAGGGGCTTTGGAGTCGAGCAGACCTGAGCTCCAGCTACTCTCTAGCTGCATCTTAGGGCCTGACCCCAAAGTGTGCTCCCTGCTGCATCCACAGCATTGATATCACCTGAGGACTTACTGGAAATGCAGCCCCTCAGGCCCCTCCCAGACCTGTACTTCCACAAGATTCCCAGGTGACCCATAAGCACTGGCTAAGGTAGCTCAGTACGCATCTCTGAGCTCAATGTCCTCAACAGGAAATGGAAGAAATGAGCTGTTCCTTATAGGTTGCCAAGAAGAATGACCAGCTGGAAACACCACAGTTAGTTAAAAAGTTGACTCTTCCTCTCACCTTCCTCTTCTGGGTTTCCATCTTCCTCCAGCCATTACAAAGAAAACAGAAAATGTCCTCTTGACCATTTCTCCCTTCTTTTCCTAATAATAGAACTAAGTTATATATTTTTTTACATTTTTTAAGTTTGCTAAAGGGCACATGTGTTCACCAGCAAGAGACACAGAGAGAGAAATCGAAAAAGCAAGCCACGATGTCTGGGGCTCAAACCATGGTCGGCCATGTGGGTATCCAGTACCATAACCACCATGCTACTAACTTGCCTCACAGAGCTAAGTTATATTTTAAAAAATAAAAATAATAAAAAATAAAAAGGCAAACGTTTTTTGGCAAGAAACCTCTCTTCTCTCCTCCAAATCCTTCTGGTTCCAGCAGAAAGCAGAAGAGGAGTGGAATAGAGGGATCAGCCATGCCAGGCCATGAGCTTCCAGATTTTTTTCTCTGATCAGGGGGAGGGTTGGTGGGGGTAGTTATAGGGCTCTATCAAGTAAGGACGAAAGGGAAGGCAAGTGAGAAACGACATGCCCCTTCCCCCTCTAAAGGTGAGGACAGCCCTAGCCCCCTAGCAGAGAGGAGCAGAGTATGCCTGGGCCCACTCTCTGAAACAAGCCAGCAGGCCAACAATGGGGGTCAGGTGCCACAAAACCTTAGGACACCTTCTTTCTTCTTTCAACTCCAAGGACAGCAAAGCCACGTAAGACCCCATTTGCTAGCAATGGCCTCCAAAATGCAATGGCCAACGTTTATCAAATGTTCCCTATTTCCATGGCTAAGTGCTTCACAAGAATTACCTCATTAATCTTCACAACAACCAAGCAAGGTGAGCACTGTTGTCATCCCCCACAATACGCACACCAGACTGATAAGGAAAGCAAAGATCAGAGGAGTTGACAAGTAGCCAAAGCCTCATGCCAGCAGGCCACCATGCCTGGACTTGAGCCTGGTCTCTCCTACTCCAGTGTGGGCTTCAATCTCTGTCTCTGACCCCAGGACCTCCCAGGCCATTGAGGTTAGGGGAACTTGTGGGTCAGAGGTCCACAGCCCCAAAGCAAGTGCCACTTTTCTATGCCCTAACTGTACAGTGGGTTTTGGATTTGTCCACCCATTAGAATCACTTGAGGAGCTGAAAAGAAGAAAAAATAAAATGAATGGAAAGGAAAAAAGGAAAAGGAAAAGACAAGATGATTGCCTTTGTTCTACCTCAGATCAACTGAACCAAAAATCTCTGGAGCCAGGGACCAGATACCAATATTTGTCAAATCTGGCACAGTCGGGGTGGACAAAAATTTACTAGCTCAGAAGGCAGGAGATGAAAAAGAAAGCAAGACCAGAAGTGAGTTCAAAGTCAAAGTTCCCCAAAATCTAAAACGCTCCTCTCGCTATGAAATCTTAGCGGCTGTAGTCCTGAGACAAGTTTTTTTTCCATAATTCTCACAC